AAAGTAGCCCTTACATTTTCATAATTTTAACAAACGAATTCGTTTTCACTGGGTGCCTGTCGTATCAAAAAGCAGATTTGACAAAAGACTTAACTCCGTTTCGTTGACAATCAGCCATGCATGAGGACTCTCGTCTACGGCTGATTGTCAACGAAACGGAGTTAAGTCTTTTGTTAATTTCGTTTATTGATACGGCAGGCAGCCAGTGAAAACGAATTCGTTTAATAAAATTATGGAAATGCAAGCACTACTTTAAACAAACAGAACTTTGTCATTCCTCGCTCATTTTTCCTGATTGAGGTGTCATATGAAAGGGCAGAAACTCAACTTTCTAGAAATGTGAATTTTTCTTCGAAATTCAGATACCGCCCGCCAAATGTCTTTTTGGTTTCCTTCCTTCAAATTGCTTTTAATCACTCATGCGTGAAATATGCATCACCTGAGTAGCATCAACTGAAAGAGGAGACTCTAAGCTTTCCAAATATGTATCATTCATTAATTATGGTTGTGATTAAGTTATGATAAAACATCGATACTTCTCGGTTTCGTTTTTTCTGGGACGCACTGTATATTTCCAATCAATTTTGTTTATTTTCCCTTCACTTCAAGTATATACCCCCCCCCCCAATACAAAAAACGACAACAACAACAACAACAACATAGACAATCATACTAGATGAAGTATAAAAGTGGACAGCAATGTAAATGTAAACGGCATTTGATTATTAAAGCTGAAGAAAATTGATATATAACAGCCAGTATTAAAGAGCGGGAAAACAACACAAAATACATTTTAAACATAAAGAACAATTGTATCACTTTATTAAAAATATACTTATTTGGCGGGTCCATCAAACTTACACTGACTCTGAATATAGGCTTTTTATTGAAAAACGTAGATTTAAGGCCGAGTCAAAGATTAATCAGTACTTGAATCAATACAACTTATCAATTTTTGCACTATTTGCAATGTATAATATTTGTTATGTTTTAAAACAAAGCTTCCGTGTGTTATTTATAATTATCGTTACGTTAATTAGCATTGGTTAAGTATAAGTTTGATAACAACAGTGGCAAATGATTTCTAAACGGAGATTAACCTAGCCGAATAAAAGCAAGTAATTGCACCTGTATAAACCTAGAGGAAGTGTCGTTTATTACACCTGTGTGGAGAAATAAAAATCGTAGGTTCGAGCCCCAGCACAGCAGGTATGTCTTCAAACAAAACATTTTATCTGCATCGCTTCTTTAGCTCCACTGAGGTTTATTTGGTGGAATGTCTTTCTAAGTTTCGAAACAGGAGACCCCTATGCAATATAAACAAAAAGCACAAGTTATGCGTTTAAAAAAATGTTCTTAATGAGTGTAATTGGTTGTCCGACCGACTTTGAGGCAATTATACCAAATTTTGCCAATATTTTTGCTCAGTTGTATAGTGAAAAGGCGATTGATTGTGCTTTACCCATTACTCAAGTATGGCATGGGAATTGCCTTAAGTTGGTCCTCCATATATTAATTTCCCTCGATTAGGCTTTATTTTCATTTCATACTTTTAATGATGTCCTGTTCTCATGAGACATGTAAGAGATAAGGATATGACGTCACATTGTTACAGAAGATGAGAATCATATGATCCCTGGTGGACTATGTTTATAATGACGTCATGTAAGAGGCAAGGATATGACGTCACATTAATACAGAAGATGAAAATCATATGATCCCTAGTGAACCATGTTTATAATGACATCATGTTGGTGTCATCGAGTGACGTCATGTAAGAGGTAAGGATATGACGTCACATTGTTACAGAAGAAGAAAATCATATGATCCCTAGTGGACCATGTTTATAATGACGTCATATATATGTTGGTGTCATCGAGTGACGTCATGTAAGAGGCAAGGATATGACGTCACATTGTTACATAAGAAGAAAATCATATGATCCCTAGTGGACCATGTTTATAGTGACGTCATGTATATGTCGGTGTTATCTGATGACGTCATGTAAGAGGCAAGGATATGACGTCACATTGTTACAGAAGATGAAAATCATATGATCCCTAGTGGACCATGTTTATAATGACATCATGTATATGTTGGTGTCATTTGGTGACGTCATGCAAGAGGTAAGGATATGACGTCACATTTTTACAGAAGAAGAAAATCATATGATCCCTAGAGGACCATGTTTATAATGACGTCATCTTTATGTTGGTGTCATCGAGTGAGGTCATGTAAGAGGCAAGGACATGACGTCACATTGTTACAGAAGAAGAAGAAAATCATATGATCCCTAGTGGACCATATTTATAATAACGTCATTTATATGTCGGTGTCATCTGGTGACGTCATACTTGCGTAGGTAGGATTCTCAAAGCCTCATCCGTATGGACTACGAGAGCCAGTTATAAGAACATTTAAAAAAACAGATGGCCGATACATTTTGGAGTATAACAATGAATATGGTGATGTAACAGCATACAACTATGCCATTCATCACTCTTATATGGACCTAGTCTCTGAGAACGCTTACTCATCGTGTGTATACTCTGTTTCTCAATATTTGTTATAGAGAGGTCAAAATGAATTTCCAGTTTACTGGCTTTGATCGACCCTTGGAATAAACAGGCGGACACTATACATCATATAATACTACACACCACTGAGTGTTTCGATTCATATCAACTTTGTTTTAAATATGAGAGAATGAATGCAGACGTACTATTTTCAATATCTTTAAACGAACATAAGAAGGCGCGCATGTCAATGGTTTAAAATACAAATGAAGTATACTGTTTATTTATGTTGGTGAGAAATTACAATACATGAAGGAGACCTGAAATATCTTTTGAGATGGATACATCAAGGATCATCAGGTATAATTATCAGGCATATTTTGTTATCCTTTCAAAATCATTCTTATTCTGTAATAGAGGAGAATGGGGCGTGGCATCTCCATAGCAACACTATTCTTCAACCTATAACACGATCGCAAATAGTTTCGTGAAAATCAACCTGTTTTCAATAGCTGATGACGTCACTATTGGAATGCACGAACATGATAATGACGTATTACGTAACCTGAACATTATTTATATGGGTGGTATTCTCGAAAGAGGACTAACTTTAGTTCATGGTTTAATCCCCCGGTGTGAATGAGTGGTATTCTCGAAAGCGGACTTACTTTAGTCCATGGTTTGATACCCCGGTGTGAATGGGTGGTATTCTCGAAAGCGGACTTACTTTCACTCCCATCATTAACATGATCAATATAACTTTCATTATTAGTATTAAAGTTAAATATCCCTTTTGCTTAACTATGTAAGTAACATGTCTCTTAGATCAAAAGAGTCCAACGAAACAGTATAAAGAAGCTTTCATGATTAGGCATTATAGCTGGAAATATGTTTTCTAATGGTTGACATGATGGATTTATTTAAAGATCATCTTTCGCCCTTTTTTAAACGAAGCAGAGCGGCCAAGCAGGGCATTTTTTATACAGAATAATATACTTGAAAGGTCAAACCTATCCTGTATGAACAAGTGATATTTTGTCTTCTTACAAGGAATGAAATCAAGTTGTACTCAAACATACCAGCTCCCTTTTGGCCCCCAGTTCGCATCACTAAAATATAAGGGGATATAATAGATTTAGAATGTAAACTATACCAACAACAACAACAACCAGAAACAGTATGACAATTATAAAAAGTATGATCTAAACGCAACAGATTTAAAAGATAAAAATATATTTATATTTGTACTGATAACAATAGGTAGGCATAATTTACCCATACACTATAAACATCACTAATTTACGATTTTTCTGATTCAAGTTGGGATTAACATGCTCGATGGTTGGTATATGAGATGCACTTGGACAAAACTTAAGAGGATTCTTCTTATTATTATTCTTGATTTCAGCCAGGTTGGGAGAACTGCTGGGTTGTATCCTTCGTAGAGTGAGTCAATAGAGAGTAGGCAGATAATATAATAGGGGTACATACATGTAGAAGATCACAAGATGTGCTAATGACAGCTTATACAGGAGCTGCTTTGTTCACAGAAGACCGTTTAAAGTGCATTTCTAGGATGAATGTAAGTGATGCGGCATGGTAATCCAGGGCCTGGGTAGTAATGGGTGGGTCATCATCCAATGAGGATGCATGTTAGTGATGCGGCATGGTAATCCAGGGCCTGGGTAGTAATGGGTGGGTCATCATCTAATGAGGATGAATGTTAGTGATGCGGCATGGTAATCCAGGGCCTGGGTAGTAATGGGTGGGTCATCATCCAATGAGGATGAATGTTAGTGATGCGGCATGGTAATCCAGGGCCTGGGTAGTAATGGGTGGGTCATCATCCAATGAGGATGAGATTTGTGGTGACGTCGGCAACGATTGCTCTGGCTCCTAATGATTAGGAGCCAGAGCGATTAACACTGAGTTCCTATAGAAAATATATTTATTCAGATGGTCATATCTCAGCCAATACTCAACATATTCAACCGGTTTTCGACATTTGGACATTTTTTGTTATGCTCTTTCGGAAAATGAAGACAAAAATGAGAAATTCTCAAAATAGATTTTTATGACGTCACAGCTTCGGTACTCTATAGCGTCATTCACTTGACTCTCAACCAATGGGCTCAGGGTTCGAATCCTAAAAGTTCTCCTCACGCTTCGGTTTCGCGTATGTTACACGCACGTGATTGCTGCGGTCGCGTCGTCCGTAGTACGTATTATACCCCATTGGCCCCGAGTAGGGCCACGGGAAAGACACACATTTGCCACTCTCCACCTAGGTGTAAAATTGGTACCTGTAAATGATGGGGTAATAATGATATCAGGGCAGTATGAATTCTGCTATGGTATACTGCTATAGTATAAGACCAACTTATTATTATGCAGGGATTAACTTACAATATCATATATTGCTTTTAGAATCGGCTGAATTCAACCTTTGCTGGCAACATAAGAGTTACTAACCATTGTTCACAGTTGTCTCTGTCTTGGGCTGCTCAGTCTGACCCGATGTGGTAAGCGTTGGACGAGGTGCGCCCTCTGTTGCCTTTGGAGTTCCAGTCCCAGAGCCTGTTACTGACGTCATAGTTGTACGGGGCATTAAGGGTGATGTGCTGGGGAGTTCAACCCTTGCCGTAGGTGGAGTAACTGCAAAGTAACATCAGAATGACGTCATAGTTGTACGGGGCATTAAGGGTGATGTGCTGGGGAGTTCAACCCTTGCCGTAGGTGGAGTAACTGCAAAGTAATATCAGAATGACGTCATAGTTGTACGGGGCATTGTGGGTGATGTGCTGGGTAGTTCAACCCTTGCCGTAGGTGGGGTAACTGCAAAGTAATATCATAATGATTGTCAGGTATATTAATCTTTCTCCTAATTTGGAGCTGGGTCGACAGGAGGTTTGCATGGGTTTATAGGCAAAATTGAGTGATTGTAAGAGTTATAGACTCATATTTACCAACAACCATGGAACAAAATATAACAAATCTTGGCACAGTTTTAAATCATACATGGAAGTGTATGACAATATTCAAACAATTTTGTTCCAGTAAACGTTTGGTAGGCATGTTAATTAAAATGTATGGATGCTTCTTTCTTGGGGACCTAGTTACGAGTTATTTCATTGACTTTTTATTTATAAATGATTTACAATAATTGGTATTTAATCTCAATTCATTACTTGTTACTGTGTTTGGCAAGCCTCGGGCAAGCTTTCAAGAAAAGCCTTTTAATTTAGAAGTATTCATGAATTTGAATATATTAGTTAACCAGTTTATTTCGTTTTTATCAACAGAACGTAAACCAATCACTTACACAAAAATTGAGCCTAGCCCGAGGCTCATAAAGGTTTATTCACATATTACTATAAAACCCACCCAAAATCTAATTAAAGATCGATTTATAAATGATAAAACAAAATTACACGATGCTTTAAAAGTCATTTATTCTGCCGCGGTATTGTTTTTAGTTTCTTTGTCGCTTCATGTATGAACAGGGCATTCTTACCATCACATGTTCGTATGAACAGGGCATTCTTGCCATCACATATTCGTATGAACAGGGCATTCGTACCATCACATGTTCCTGATACAGGGTTCAGATCATCTAATCCAATATCACTTCGGTTCCCATTGCCAACTATACCTTGGAACTCAAACTGTGGATCAAAACGAGAATAGGAGGGAGAAAATGTGTTTCATATGAATACTGAGTGACAGAGTAGGAAGGATTGTATCGTAGAGGGCAGTATGAAGAAGATCAGCCTAAATAGGCTAATGACACGTGGATGATAAGCCCTTTGCTGATCTAAATATCCAAATCTGTATCGAATGCTGTCATGTTCTTTATTCTTTTTAATGAATCCACTTTATATCATCTGCGTCTTAGCAAATGTACAATTGGGCATTTTCAAAGGGCTAAAAAATAAACTTTACACTTGAATCTTGAAATGATGTAATTTGTATGACTATCATCTTTGACAACGTACTGACAAAAAATACAAATAAACCACGCTGCATTACGTTTAAAACAATTACTAACATGATATTTCATTAAAGAAGATTTTTCAGACGAGATGAGGGCTTATAAGAATAGTCAAAATCTAATGCAAGCAATTATGATTTTATTTATTTTGCAAAAACTGACGAATCATTGCGGAAATATATAGTCCGTGGGCCAGAGGGGGCTACCGTGCACCCCCCCCCCCCCTATGATCCTACTTTTTGGGTGTCATTTTGTTCATTGGGATCCATAATATCAGAAAAAAGACGTTCCCAAGAAAAAAAACTCATTTGGACACTGTTTTTTTGCTCCTTATTTGAAGATATGTAAAAATGTCAGTTTTTCGTGTTTTGCACACTTTCTTAGGGTTTGTGAATTATGTGCTTACATTTTACCCTGTTTCTCAGCAGATAAAACTCTAATCTCCACCAAATGTATCAACAATCTTTCTAAACTATACAACAATAGGTAGACAAAATTATTTTATTTTATTTTATTGTCTTCAATTATTAATGACGTCATAAATTTGCATATATTTTGACATGCAAATTTCTGTCTCAAAACCTGTCAAAATCACCTGAAAGTTGTATTCTGTCTGCTATTATCATGAAATAAGTTTTCAAACCCCCCTTATTTGGTGTAAAATTATTCATTGATATGTTATCTGATGTTTCCTGCAAACAAAATTCAGTCAACTTATGTAGACATTGTTTTTTCCCCATTATTTTGTATGTAAACATATCAGTTTTCCGTGTATTGTACATTTTCTTAGGGTTTGTGAATTATGTGCTTACACTTTACCCTGTTTCTCATTAGATGTAAGTCTAACCTCCATCAAATTAATAAACGATCTTTGTAAATCATACAAAAATAGGTAGACAAAATTATTCTAATTTATTTTATTGTCTTCAATTATTAATGACGTCATCAATTTGCATATATTTAATATGCAAATTTCTGTATCAAAACCTGTCAAAATCACCTGAAAGTAGTATTTTGTCTGCTATTATCATGAAATAAGTTTTCTAGCCCCCTAATTTGGTGTAATATTATTCATTGATATGTTATCTGATGTTTTCCGCCAAAAATTCAGTATCAGTCAACTCGTATGCGCATCCCCCCCCCCCCCCCCCCCGCTTATTACAACTAGTACATTCTGTATATATAATGTACATTTAATCCAGGTTGGATAGCAACTCCTCTGGTACAGTCCACGAATCACCAAGTCCTGCCAGAGGTTTGACAAATTTGTTGCGTTGCTGCAACAGTTTGATTGGCTTGACTTTGCCGGTTCCTTTAAAGGCGCTTGTGGAGTCACAGCCTGAGAAAGCATGTAGTCCAAGGAGTGCTGGGCAAAATTAGTGACATCTTTGAGCCGCTGCTTGTTGCCTCTCCCTGTATGGAAGAGTAAATGTCTGAAGTGAGATGAGCGTAATGAAGCAATATAACAAAATATATCGCTGTTTGGGCTTTTGGTCTGCACATGATCACAACCTTTCTCCTTTACCGTATTGGCAGTAAAGGATCACGCGTGAATCTGTTTCTTCTTGGGTTGAGTTGAGAGATGGAATCTCAGAACTCAGTGTCTCTCTCCCATTCTGAGAAGTGAGCAGTTGGGCTTCTCCTTCTTTGATGAATATCATCTGTTCCCATACAGCCTCTTAGCCCGGTTCTTAGCCGTGTCGTGCTCATATATACTCCAGACATCCAGAAGAACTTGAATAAGTTGTTTCTTATTCTCATCATTCGTTAGGAACTGCTTCCAGTCAGATGATCTTTTGGCCTTGCCTCCTTTAATCATCATCTTCTCTGCACATCCACGCCGTGTCCGTTCACTTGACTTCCCAGAGTCTGGCTTGTACATGTCTGTGCTGAAGATGACATCGCATTTGGACAACACTCCATTGTGAATTTTGATGCAAATATCGTGGAAGTATGCAGGCATCTCTTTTAGGTAGTAGAAAACAGCATTAACATCTTCCACTACCAAGGAATTGCCAGTGGTTGGAGGTTGTGAGTTCTCTACATCCTTCCGGAGATAATGTAGGCCCTTAACTGTATCTGTCTTAGCAAAGAAGTTGTTCCAATGTTCCAATTGAGTAGAGAACAGGGATCAAAGAATTCCCGTAGATCAAGTTGGCTGCCTGAACTTTGTGCCTTTACCATCAGCTGGATAGCAATGTCCCCTTGTTGCTTGTACTCTTTTACTGTTCGTTGGGATGTTTTAAGCTTGAATTTCTTTTTTGTCTCTGCCATGGTTTGAGCTTCAGTTTCTTGATGGGGTCAGAGAACGATGTCTTTTTCTCTAATCGCTCTTTGAGGAACATCTCTTTCTGGTCTTTCCCGTGGTAATTGCATGCATGACATCTTTCTCAACCTCAGCTGGAACGCGGGCACCGGAAGAAAAAACATACAATCCATTCTTGTCTTCAACATCAACATGATTGAGCAAACTTTTTACATCATCTATGGCCTTTTTTATTATTACACATCCCTCACTTTTCCTCATCTGAGTTGGTTGTTGATCTCTGTGTTTATTTCCACGGTGAGCATCAAATGTCATATCTGCATATGTTCGGGCCCACCTCTGATATACACTGTAGTTCTCAATTATGCCAGAGACACCGACACCACTACCACCCCCACCGCGAGATTTGCCATGCTTCAGGATTATCTCCTCAATTGTCTTGTCGACAGCACATCGGTTCCCTGAATTGAGCGACCTGGCAACACTTATTGCACCTCTTTCGAGCAATGTCATGGCACCAGGATGTGAATCTTCAATGTTTACCAAGAATACATCAAGGTAGGTCAGATATCGGGAGTAATTGTGTCCAGATCAGGCATAAGGAAAAGCTTTGAAGCTCTCATATGACTCTATCAACGCCATCAGATCTGCATTAGCCACAACCTCAGCAAGCCTCTCTTTTGTTGGTGATCGAATTAGCTCTTTGAAGATATTCTTTGATTCCTCAGCTATACCAACAAGTGCATCATTTTTTCCAGTCATTGACAGGAACTCATAAAAAAGGAGCCTTTCTAAGCACTCCACCATTGTCTTGTGACAATGAAGACTCCTGTCACAGTTCTTTCCTGTTATGACGTCTTTCATAGACGCAGAAGACATGAGACCAGCTTCCAGCTTTGCACCTCTTTGGAACTTTTCAAGCAGAAGGTGCAACACATCAAGCTCCGTTGAGCTTCAAACTGTTTTTTAGCTGCACATAGAATTCTTGTAGAGCCTTTTTACTTGCACTGTACACTCGGCACTTGACAAGCACAAGGTACGATAATACGCCAACGGCAGACTGTACTATACTGGAAGAAGAAGAAGAAGAGGATATCTTCAAGCCCGGATCCTTCCATTTTCTTTCCAAGCATCTTGGAGTATGCACAAATCAAATGGAAAGTGCCAATCAACAAAATGTGTTTCTTGTAATTTTATGAATGACTCCAAATGAGAGGATATGCCTTCATGCACACGCCCAAGTCAAATGCTGTTATGACATAGTCTTGGCCAACCTCGCGGCTTGCTTCTTCTGCAGCTCTCGGGCACTCTTGGATTGTATCGAATTCTGTTATGGGATATTTTATAACAGGATAGTAATCTATGGTCGTCACATTTAAAAGCACCTCCCATGTTACTGAGACAAATCCAGCCCAAACTGGAAGCTCTTGACCTGTCTCTCCACTACTTTTTCGGACAAGCATCCACGCAATATCATTTCTGGCACATTGTTTGAATGCTTTATATCGGTTGACATAGCAAGATGGAAGAGGACCTTCATGTTCAATAGTCAAGGAACGTTCTTTGGTTCATGTACGTGCTTCTGAGGGTACTGTGCTATTTGAAGATTCAACTGTCTCATTGTTAGAAATCTCCTGCAGCATAATCCCATGGGCTGTGTGGACAGAGCCAGAACCACTTAAGATTGAAATGTATTGGTCGAAATCGTCAACGTCTGAATGGAAGACTGATGGCTCCACGGGATGGCGGACTACCTGTCTAGATAGAATACCGAAAGTCTACTGTAGCGCTTGTGCTATGGCAGATTCAAGCTCAAGTGAAAATGAATAACTTTCTGAAAGAACAAGGCGATTCATGAATGTAATCAATTGAGCACTGCGTAAGAGATGTCTCAAGAGTCATCCATATCAGAATATGCTTGGACATTTTCCACTTTCCATTTGTGGCTGCCCTACATAATTATATCTTGCCCAAGAGATATGACAAATCTAGTCACTCTTTGTGATGGTCGAGATGGATTTCCACTCAACAAATGGTTCAGAAACTTCTCTAGCTCAGTGGGAATCTGGTCATCTATACAGGCAATGGCTTCTGCGGTTGAGGGCAAGGTATTTCATCATCTACAATTTAATCTACATATGCTGGCAAATGCTTTCTTGTGGGCTACTTCCATTGTTCTCTGTTTAGCTAGTATACTTCATCGTACTTGTCACTTCTCCATTAATCTGGTTCTTAGTTCGCCACATATTTCTTCAGACAGTTCTTGTGATATTTTGCTTCTGCAGCAAACAGATCAACTTCCATGATTCTCAAAAGTAGGTCTTCATCACCAACTCTCTTCGCAACATATACAACACGTTGCCACCCACCAAAATCTAACATTGGTGACTTTCTGTTGTCCAAGAGCTTTTCACTTTGATTGATTTTGGGCCTTCCTTTTTACAAGAGAAACAATCAGGATTGAAGATGACTTCATCAATTGACGATCTGGGTGGACGGGATGTTGAAGGTTCTGTGGCATCAGATAAGATCTCTGACAGTCGATTGAGATTCTTGGTAAAAAGTTGGTAGCACTCCCGATGATAACCGTGCACATCTGAAATGTCTTTAAGAATGACGATGCATACTTCTTCCAATGCTAATTGTGTCAAGTTAGTTGAAATTCGTGAAATTGTACCCCGTATACGTTTGATCATTCATTTGTATAAACAACAAAACTATATTATAGCATATAATGGGATTAATGACCAACTGCTGAATAAGTTGGCTTTGTCTGATCCCCCGTCTTCAGGCTGTACTATAAAAGGAAACAATGTTTTATGTGATAATATACTGTATTTGATTTAGTTTGATGTTAACAGGCTAGCCCCAATAGTAATTGAAATACTGCTTGTTGAGCTTTTGTTTTTTTAAACAGGAACTTTAATTGAATATACATTATATATACAGACTGTATTAATCGTAATATGTGGGGGGGGGGGGAACAAAATTTGCGGGAAACATCAGATAACCAGATAACATATCAATGAATAATATTACACCAAATTAGGGGGCTAGAAAACTTATTTCATGATAATAGCAGACAAAATACAACTTTCAGGTGATTTTGACAGGTTTTGAGACAGAAATTTGCATATTAAATATATGCAAATTTATGACGTCATTAATAATTGAAGACAATAAATAAGTTAAAATAATTTTGTCTACCTGTTGTTGTATAATTTACAAAGATTGTTTATTAATTTGATGGAGGTTAGACTTATATCTGCTGAGAAACAGGGTAAAGTGTAAGCACATAATTCACAAACCCTAAGAAAATGTACAATACACGGAAAACTGATATGTTTACATACAAACTAATGGGGAAAAAACAATGTCTACATGAGTTGACTGAATTTTTTTTGCAGGAAACATCAGATGACATATCAATGAATAATTTTACACGAAATTAGGGGGTTTAAAAACTTATTTCATAATAATAGCAGACAAAATACAACTTTCAGGTGATTTTGACAGGTTTTGAGACAGAAATTTGCATGTCAAAATATATGCAAATTTATGACGTCATTAATAATTGAAGACAATAAAATAAAATAAAATAATTGTGTCTACCTATTGTTGTATAGGTTACGAAGATTGTTTATACATTTGGTGGAGATTAGAGTTATATCTGCTGAGAAACAGGGTAAAATGTAAGCACATAATGCACAAACCCTAAGAAAGTGTGCAAAACACGAAAAACTGACATTTTTACATATCTTCAAATAAGGAGCAAAGAAACAGTGTCCAAATGAGTTTTTTTCTTGGGAACGTCTTTTTTCTGATATTATGGATCCCAATGAACAAAATGACACCCAAAAAGTAGGATCATAGGGGGGGGGGGGGTGCACGGTAGCCCCCTCTGGCCCACGGACTAATAGTATATAAAGTACTTTCAGTAGTTGATTTATAAAAGGGTTATTGATGTTCACGTTACTGGATGAATAATATTATTCAAGTAACTTAAAGGCCCACTTCACTACTTGTAGCTACTTGCGCCCTCTATATAACAAACAATGCCTAATCGGTGACCATTGGTCCCCCATAATCCTCTTTTTCTTATGTTAACTGAGAGCAGAGTTAATGAGATAACCACCTGTCCAGTGAACTTGCAGGGCAGTCTAATCCCTCCTGTAAACTACGGCAGATAAGCTTTAAAGAAAGGTCGGACACTTGTAACACGTTCATACCGTTGCAGCTCTGCTGTAAGGTACGGTAATTTGCAACCGACCAGAAGAGCTCTGTTGACCACTCAGCCTCCAGATTACCTTCATACTACCTTCCATTTCATCTCTATACATTTGTATGGGGGAGGTAGAAAGAGGGGGGAGGGGGGGGGGGGGGGGGGGGGGGGGGGTTACAAAGAAAAGTGAAAGTTAATGTATTGAAACAACCGTTCATTTGTATGGGGGTATAGGAAGAGGGGGTGGGGGGGGGGGGTTACAAAGAGAAGTGAAAGTTAATGTAATGAAACAAGCGTACATTTTTAGAAGGATTTTTGAAAAACACGTAAATCATACTCGGGCAAATGTCATCTTCTTTTGTTTTTCTTTGTTTGTTAAGGATTGCAAATTGAGAGGGCCGCCTAGCCCCCCGCCCGCCATGTGACCCACTATAGCTATATTCTGTCCTACAAACGTAATCAGTAGCCTTGTAAATATCAATTCATTTTCCGAGTAAGACCTGCAGGACCCCCCCCCCCCCCCTCATTCAACTATAAGCCACTGTATATATTATATAGAGAACCTCCACTGTATATCCTAACCTTATATAACCCCATCAACAGCTGGAGTTGAGGCGAATATAATTATGATCCGTACATGCAAATATTATGCTGAGTTTATGATGCATATAGTAATGTTGGAAGGAAGTAGGCCTATCCCATATCGATGAAGTGTAGTCGACTTACAATTTGTTGATTTTTTTTTTCCAATGCCGCGAATATGATCTAAGGGGGGAGGGGGGGTGCAGTGGCGGATCCAGGGGGGGGGGGGGGGTGGGGGTGGGCGGCCGGGGGCCCGGGTCCCCTTTTATAGAAAAAACACACAGGTAAAAACACCCTTTTTTGTAAAATAAGAAGGAAAAGAAGATGGGCCCCCTCCCCTGGCGCCCAGGGGGGGGGGGGTGGTGGTTAATTCTTTTCTTCAATTTTTGGTTTCGGAGACAAACAAAAATAATACAACAATTGCTGACCTAAACCCCCCCCCCCTCCCCCCTGTGTCTCTGCTCTATACCCTTCCCGTCACTCTCTCTCACTTTCTAGTCTCTAACTCTTCTCTCTCTCTCTCTCTCTCTCTGCTCCCTTCTCTCACTCACTCACTCTCTCTTTTCTCTCTCCTCTCTCTCTATCTCGTCTCTCTTCTCTCTCCTCTCTTTCTCTTCCCTACCCTCTCTCCGTTCCGTACCCGCTCTCTCCCTCTCCCCTCGCTCTCACTCTCCCACTCTCTCTCTCCCTCTTTTTTTTCTCTCTTTGACAGGGTCATAAAGAAATTAAAACTAGTATAACAAATCCAAGATCAAACAAACATAGCCTATACAGAACACTGTAAGGGTACCATTTTGTAGGTGTATGCAGCTTCAAAATTTTGAAATAATATTGAAGAAAGTATAATTCTTCAGGAAGAGCTAAGAACTGAAACTTGACCACGCTAACAACACATATCTTAAATGATTTCTAGCTTCAAATATCACCATGTGTCATTTTTGTGGTTGTGTAGAGCCTGGTCACATGTCTTTTCTTGTTGAAAACCTAATCGGAGCCTAATCTTGCTATAGCGAGAAACATAGTAAGAGGGCGCTCGACAAAGATCCCTTGTTAGTGCCCTTGACTGTAGGACAGTTTAGCCGACCCGGATTGAGTTGGGCCGAATAATGACGAATACTGTTTTACTGGCCGGGCTAGCACAAAATAAAAGAATATACGCCATGTCGTGACCTACTAAAACCAAGTTGGCCAAACTCTGTGTAAAGATGGTTTTGATCCTTTCAAATGATCTTTTAAGCATTGAGGAGTCCCCCTTTGTGCACTTCCGAATAATCAGTTTCTTCAATCCCCCCCCCCCATCCCATCCCAATATATCTATTCTTCTAGATCCACTCCTGACCTCTATGAATAATGATTACATAACTTTCATGCCCACATATCAGTTGTCATCTCATTGCGTTTGGTACTAAAAACATTTTTATATCCATGCGCAGATAGTATCTACGGACTAGACATGTCCCCCATCACACTGGATAAACTGTATTTATTACATCATCCCTCCAATATGGTCAAGGGGGGGGGGGGAATCCAATCCTCATTTGTATGACAGTAGAAAAATAAACCAATATAAATGGCGAAAGTTTGAAATAAATCTAATCCATAATGAAAGAGTTATGCAGGTTTGAAATATGATATATGCAATTCTTACGTCAGCACTTTTGTCAGTGGATTGTGACGTAGTTAAGGACAACTGTCCCGTTTGTCGTGTACAAAATATATTATTTGCCTATCTTTCTCGCATATTCCCTCTCCCTTGGGGCACTACTAAACATGCATCGTAGGTAGCCTATTATTACAAGTCCTCTGAAAGTTCAAGATTCCTCCGAGTCATCCATTTAAAAAATAAATGAAATGGTCGTATTTTTTTAGTTTTGGAACAAATGGGAAAATAGTTCACCACTACATCACAGTGACATTACCGGTGTTGCCAATTTGAATTTCCCTTAAGTGTAGTGATTACAACTTTCAAAATTGTATAGCTGTGATACCTTAGGGACGATAAGAAATGCACCAGTTACACGTTGTCTCCTGGGTATTGACTGCACAGTTTTTCATGTGGTTTATTACTAAAGCAGTCACAAGGTGGCGCTAGAACAACGCATCCCTTCATAATGAAAAAGTCTTCAATTGTTTGGACATCTGTGATAACATTTATGTTTGCTTTTACCATAATTTCAGGAATCAAGATCCAGATAGATCACTTGCCACAACCTGATAACTCAATGTTTATATACATCTTCTTGAACAGATATCATATTTAACTGTCGTAGAGTTGTAATAAAACCAATGATTACTATATGCATTGTATTTTATGTCTTTGCTATTTTTGTTTTCGATTTCCCTTTTTCGAACACATACACATTTGTATTCATAACAAATTTCCTTTAAACCACCTCTATTAAAGATAAACTATGTAAACTTCGTGAATTCTTTCGTCACACAAACCTATTTGCAATACAATAAACAGTGATATTCTAGTAGCAATCCAAGGTGTAGTTGTCGAAATAATGAATGATAAAATGTGTGTACGTATATGCATATAATACATATAAAGTACATATAATACAAAAGTTGGTTCATAATAAAGATATGCACAATTTTACAACAAGAACATTAATTAGCTTCATGCATCCCATGGGACTCATTGGGTATATGTCTCACATTTAAATGGTGATGTCAAGTACTGACATAAATTGCATTCTTTTGATATAAATGCTCCGAAAATATAATGAATAATGCCAAACGTAATACAAGGCCATTAACAAATAGGAATAGGAAAAACACATTTTGTTAAAGATGATGAATAATCCCTAATTCGTATGTTTCCAAAAAATTCCCAAACAGCTGGGTTTTTTATGAATCTACATCGTCGATTATTTGATTCATAAAAAGTGCAAACAACACATTTGTACATAAGTGTTTCTATATCTAAATGTAAAAACAACCTGCTGCTTAGATAATTTGAAAAAAACTGTAATAAGGAGTGAAATTATTCCAAGTTCGATGATGGAAATGAGGCATGAGTTACATTCAATAACATAATTACCAATGACAATGCATAAAGCTGGTAAGCAGGGGCCTACATTATCTAAACATGAAGATGAAATAAATTGAACTTCATTTCTCCTGGAAGTTAACATGTTGACTACTGATGTAACATATTCCCCATAGCTTTAATACAAAAATAACCCGGTTCCAGTAGGAAATGGGTTAACGAATACCAGGAAGTAGATCAGGTATATATCAGGTATGAGACAATGCAGCATGTCAACTTGACCGGGTAGTGTGTAGTCATCACTGGAACTCATCAAATGTGAGAACAATGATGATGTCAGGTACAAGGCAATGCACTCTGTCAGCTGCAGCTGCACTGTGGCTCAATCAGTGTGGGTAATGCGGTACTTATGACGCTTATAGGAATTGTCCTGAACGAGAAAACATAATGAAATTACGATAAGAGGAATAATATTCAACGACGTAGAAGTGCAATGTTTACATATTCATTGGATTTTACATATCAATTATGAAATATTCTTTTTACCTAAGGGTTATGATAATACCAACAGTTTAAGTGTCTTTATACTGATGGTTCTTCCACTGACCGCCCTGATACATGATAGTGTTATTAAAGAATTCCTGATTCTGTTTCCTATTCGTGTCTAGGTAAAGATGTATATTATTGTAAAATCTTCCCCAAATGCATCATCGAATTCAATTATCCACTAGCTGGGGACTGTTGAATAAAGATGAAACGGAAAAGAGTGTAATGAGTAACCTCCTTTCCAGGTTATCATGACATTTTCATTTGCTGGACCTGAGTCATAATGGGCCGATAGTAGGAGTCCTGTAACAGAAAGCAGAAAATGACTTATTAGCTATGTGGAACCCTAATTTTCTTATCAGCATACAACGTGAAGCTTAACTAATAAACCTTAGTAAAATCATTCTGAAAAGAAAGAAATCAATTCCCAGACATCATTACATCAACAAAATAGCAAATTTACTATTTCAAGTCCCTTATTTCATAATGATAATTGTTAAAAAAGACAGATCTATAATATGTTTAGTATTAGTTAGTATTATATGAAAACATAGGGCCTCACTCCAATGACGTAGCATGGGTCTAGGTACTGATAGTGGCATTATGGGGGGGGGGAGGGCTGACACCACTCTCACTAGGTGGATAAAATGCAAATTAACAAAGACAATTTTGTAAAGGGCAGGAAAGGGAATGTTCTTCTTTTTCATCATCATCATCATCTTTATCTTCGTCTTTATCCTCTTTCTCCTCCTGTTCACTCTTATTTCTTTATATCGCCTTATACATGTATCTCTTTCTTTCTTTCTCTCTCTCTCTCTCTCTCTTTCTAATTGTTCACCATGCGATGGTGGTACGTTCGTGCCCTAGTGGCCCCAATAACTTAACATAACGAATGATCATGGGAAGAAAAAATTGAATAGTGAGCACTAATTTGTGTTCCTTTTTTTTTTTTTTGCCCCCGGAGATTTGAAAATCGCGCCGTCCTATATTTCGCTAGGGGGGGGGGGGAGGGGTAGTGAATACTTTTTAAAAACTCAACACCCCCCCCCCCCCCCCTTGAGCATCAAACGAAAGGTAAATTTGTGGTAACCATCTTTTTCTTTTATTTTTGTTTTTGCCAGGGGTAGGGGCCCGTCTTTGGGTCCAAGGCCCGCTCGACCCATCCCCTGCATTCGCGCCTGCTCCGACACAACAATAGGCTAAGAGAGTCTTAAGTGTAGAAAGGAAAGATTCAGCAGTAGTGTCCTACCGTATTTGATGAGATCGATATATCGTAATTGATGTAACAATTATTGTTAGCAGCATTTACATATACCCTGCGAAACAAATCTCATTTAATTTCGATAAAAATGGATACGATTGTATTTGATACATATTCTTAAATTACCATCTATCTATATCTCACCCTCTGTGTTTTTAATAACAAGGATAATGAAAATAATAATAATAATAATATTTATGATAATGATAATAAAAGTCACACTTGTAGCGCATAATATAACATTTATAATCGCATTTATAAAACATTTATAATTTACACTGTACTTATTATTAGCCCGCTATTGTATTCAATTGCTAATCCGCACATGAAAGTGCACACGCTCCGCTCCATGGGGATAATTCCAGCTCAGGCGCCTTTTTACAAGCTCACACAAGCTACAACCACATTCACATTCGCTTTATACGTACATGACCGTGTACCCATTTAACACCTCGGTGGAGAGTGACAAATGTAGATTACTGCGGCAGCGGGACTCGAACCGATCCAAAGTCTGTTGCCGTGAAAACAAGACTACTACACCCCTCCTCTCTCTCTCTCTATTTATCTTTCTCCCCCCCTCTCTCTCTCTCCGCATGGAAGATTCGTGAACTTCGATGATCCTATGTACTGTCATGGTCGCAAAATATATAGCTGAAGATAATGTTTAGAAAAATACTCATCCGATTTTAATTCATTTACGGGTTTTTAGTGATTTCCAGACAGTTGCACAGTCGTTGCAGAGGATTAAAAAAAAAAAATTGCAACAGTTGCTCAATATTGTCTGTAAAAGGAAATAATTAGTTGCAGTCGAATCGCATCGTAGAGATCCATCATGTCCCCAATCTTTCTTACTTTTAACTTTCCTCTTCCACCTCTCTTTCCCTCTCCTTTCTATACTTCTCACTCTCCCTCTGTATCCTTCTAAATCTCTTCATATTCCTTTGCTAGTTTTTTCCTCCTCTCTCCACTTTCTTTGTTTCTCTCCTCTCCTACCCATCTATTAATTTAAATATAATTCAATGTTACATTACGTCAACAAATTAATATATATTTTTTTTATTATTCTTTGTATGTAACAAAATTATGAATGAATAATAACATAGCGAACTATTTATTCCTATACCATTAATTCTTACCTACAAATTCTCTCTCTCTCTCTCTCTTTAGATTTATCTCCCTCGTCGCTTTCTTCTTGGTCTTATTCTCTTCCTTTGCCAGTTTCCCTCTTTCCGCTTCTATCATTCCTGTTCTTCCTTTACCCTATTATGTAAATTTCTTTCCTATTTAGTGTTCAAGAAGAGTTGCACCTGTAACATACCTTTTTAATATATTCCGTGTAAATAAAGAAAGATGTGTGATTTATAAGAGCTATGGTCAATGTATTAACGTACGGTGTGTCTACCCTCTCCTATCAACCCTCTCCTACCTCTCTGGCTCTCATACCTTTTTTCTTCCTCGGTCGGTCTGTTTAGCTTTGTTCTCTACTCTTCTACTAATCTCTTCTCTCCTCTGCATGTCGCTTCTTCTCTTTCTCATTAATATTGAAAAATTGACATGGTCTATATATATCTTTTTGACAATTTGCATATATTTTGTTTTAAACAAGTGCATGATTGTTATTGTTATTCATGTCAATTTACTTGTATGATTAAGATCATGGAATAATCTCAACCCAGGGGCGTACGCAGGGGGGGGGGGGGGGTATTTTTATGTGTGTAAACCCCCCTAAAAAAACCTAAACCCCCCCCCCCCCCCCCCCCCCCCCCCCTTTGGTTTTTTTTTTTTTTTTTTTTTTTTTTTTTTTTTATTATAAAAAATAAAAAATAAAATAAAATAAAATATGCCCACGGCTAACCTAAAAAAGGTGACCTTACCCCCCCCCCAACGAAGAAAAATGTCAATTTTCAAATTTCAAGACCAAAAAAAAAAAAAAATGTATGCTTACCCCCCCCCCCCCCCCCCCCCCCCCCCCCCCCCCCCCCCCCCCCCGTACCATCGAAACAACTCCGAAAACAAAGATAATATTTGATGACATATTTGATAGAATGTTGAAGTGCAAATCCAGACAGAGGAACAAAGTGAAGTACGTGTTAAAACGTAATAGGAACACATGGGATATAATAAATATACAAACATTTCATTTAGCTAAGTTTCGATATTCTGTTGAGCATTTGGTAACTAAGAAATGGGATAACAATTATCAACAGCAATAAAGCCAGGACCCGGGACAGAGACAAAATAGTATGATACGAAAACTCTAAATATAAAACAGTTTGAAAAACTTACGAAGCAGAAGGGGATTATTTTACAAGAAAAAAAATAACACTCAGGAAACGTTAACAAAGAAAATGGGCCAAAAATGGAAAGAAAATTTAGAAATTGAATATTAAAAACAATATACAAAACAATATTATCATCATAGCGGTCATTATACAGATGAATATGAGAAATAGTGAAAGTGTACGGTGCACATAACGTGGAGCGTTACTTACATGACGAAGCATCACGGAGAGGTTGCCGCTTGATGATGCTTGAAGACCTTTGAGATGAGATTCCAGTCTGCCGCCCTCTCCAGTTCCACACCAGTGTAACCTATGTTCAGAAAACAGAGTGATGGAGGTAAGGTGCGTTGCATGTTAGAGTAAAGAGAAAGAAGTACAGGTAGAGGGAGAGAGAGAGATCACGATAAGAGGGGGGGGGGGATATAACGAAAAGAGAGAATATAATTATATAGAAAGAGAGAGGAATATATAATAGAGAGACATACAAAGAACAGAGAAGTTAAGAAAGAGAAACAGACAGAGAATGCGTAAAATATGATACTCTTAGTATTTTCATGTTCGGATTTAGATCTTTATATCAGATTTGTTTTCTCCCATGAACGATTTGATTTTGTAGGCCTTATTTAATTTGCTTAGCGACAAAAGTTACAAGTGCCGGGAAGGGGGATGATAAGGGGGTGTTTCATCTAGCATTACAGTTAATATTTAAAATGATCAGATAAACTTTAAGGGCCTAAAATTGATTTCGATTTTAGGCCGTTTCATCCCCCCCCCCCCCCCCAACAAAAAATTATCAATAATTTTAACTTAAAAAGTGATCCATATAAATTTTAAGATCAATTTTATCTTCTTCTTTTTTTTTTTTTTTTTCCCAGAGACTGTTTATTTCGGTAATAAAGAAACCAAACGAGTATTTCAGCTTTCCTGCTTTAATTTTCGATTAGTAGGGAAGTATATTTCATTTTATAAACTGGTCAAATATCTGGTGTATACAATTTAAAAACAAAAACAAAAAAGAAGAATCCATGATATGATATTTGATATGTATTTAAACTGTGTGCAATTTCCTCTCAGTGTATTTGTATAGGGTTTCCAAGGAAACTGAGAATACTGAGAGAGTAACCCTCTTTAATTAAAACGAATTAAAACAAAAATCATCCCATTATTAATCCGATATCTTCAAGCATTGATTTGCTTAAAAGGCGAAAATGAAGACTAACAATTTTGTTATGTATTGGAGAATGGAGAATTTTGTACAAAATGAAAGGCAAATTTTGGGCCATTAATTATCTATTTGTTTATCAATTTGTGCCCTTATTCCATTCGCATACTCTCTCTCTCTCTCTCTCTCTCATTAACACACAACCACACTGCTATCGCAACTCTTTGCTTTCTGTCCCTTTCAAAGTGATTGTTTTGTTCTTTCACACCCCCCCCCCCCTCCAACAACAAAACAGTTATAATAATAATTATAATAATAATAATAAATACATACATTAAGTTAAACAATACAAATGATAACCACTGGCTTGTAACAAAAGCATTGCTAGGTTATCTGATCACTCAAACAGACACACCATCATTGAATCACATATCATTGCCCTTTATCATCATTTCATTATTACTATTTATGTGTTAGCGCACAATCTCATCCATTCAATTTTTGCATAACCCATTTTGTTCTTATTAAATGACAAACAATACATTGCTCAAATACAAAATAACATTAACATAAATTTGTCAAGCTTTAAATTCTTATAGCTATTCTTATGCTTTAATGCATGAAAATCTACATTATATAAATGATGAGCAATAGCAATTTATTTCAAGGGATACAATAATAACATTTTCAATGACACAAATGAAAGTACTGCTTTTAAAGTGACAACCGGTTGTTAAAACTATTGCAGCAAATATCTGCCACTGTGTAGTCGAGGTACATTGGTAGAGATTAAAAGAGTAACGTTTGTAGTAGGGATTGCTGTAACTAATATGGTTGTTAATCTACGGGTAATACACTTTGTCATGTAAGGTCATGCAGTTGATGAAAATGTGTTTTTCTTGATACTACAGTTTGTCTATACGAACTTGATTATCTTTTTTTTTTCTGTCAGCTTTGATTTTTGTTTAAGGACAACATGAATCCGAGTTGATATATTATTTCCTGCCGGACAAATCTGTTTTCACTGCAATTACAATGTTCGGTTATTTCTTTTGTATTTGTTCTTGTGCAATTGCTAAGAATATCCAATTCAGGTATCAACTCTTAATTATCGACACATATCCATGCCAACAGAAACTCTACCACGAGTTCCAAATGGGGCCTCAAATTGGTCGACTGCTGCTCAGATGAATTGCTACTTTAAAATTTCCAATTTGATATTTTAAGATTTATCTACAAGAACAGATTCATCTATGGCATGTAAGTTTAGAAACAACAGCCTCCATGACAGAATCATAGATTTTTAAATTAGCAACAACACTTAGCAAGATATCTCTCGAAAGTGCAGGCTTAAATTGCAGAGCTATTAAACTTAATATGGATTATTACTTTAGTTTTATCTTTCAACTGTAATTAGTTGTTTTCTTTTTCCTTCTCCAAGATTCTACAATTCTATTTAAAAGAATAGAATTCTTGGAAGTATCATTAATTTGTTTACTTCCTTTAAAACATTACTTGATGGAATCTTATTAAACCAATAATCTCATACTCGATGGCAAATTTTAGTACACAGACTGGAGCACTTTCAAAATCTTCAGATGAGTATATTTGAAAATCTGTTTCACTGGAAGTCGTAGTTAAATGAGAAAGCGACGAGTCCACGATCTGTTTAGCATTGTCGTCCCTCTTGCTTAGAGCTGGAAAAGGAAGCTTGTATCTGTAGGCTGGCTGATGTTCCATATGAAGCATAATATTGCAGGGGATTCAGGCTCTGCAGTCTTGAATTTGGAATTGGAAGTTATGTAATAAAAAAACTAATTAATACTAGTGTAATTTTTCAATTTTTGTATTTCTGGTCATGTCAATTTCTTTGATTGTAAAATAAATAAAGTAGAAGGATACAAAATATTCTCAAAAAATATCGATACGAAATCAGTTTTAGTTAGAAAAAAAAATACATAATTAATTTTTAGGCTTTGGGAAAAAAAAAATCTTTTCATAACCATTTGGTAAGTATTAAACAGAGATATACATATACCATAAAGAGAGCAAATATATTTCAAAAATAGTTGTCAATTTACCTAATCTAATGTGTTCAACTGGACAAAAGTACAATTTCATCAGTGATTCTATTTGTAATTTAAATGTATTTGGGTCAAACCACTATGTCACTATTAAACAACATTGAAAGTTTTAGAAAGTGTGATAACTGTATCAATTGGACTATGGAACGTGGAACCTCTTTTTTATAATACATATTTTGAACTCATCTTGATTTTGATCTTGATCCCAAACATTTCTTTAAAATGTTGATCTTGAATGTGTTGATCTTGAACTTGGGCTTTCATTTGTAATCTGACTCTACAGCACTGTAATCCCAATCTTGGATAATCTGATCTTGAACAAAACCCTATTGTACAAAGATTTGATAAAAGTAACCCTCTGGTGAATAGAAGGGAAAGAGATACCTTTTTAAACTGGTATATAACAAACAGGTTGAAGCTTACATCATGCATATGCTTATTAGAGCTTGTTCAACCACATCTGTATACTTTTGCTGCCATATATATGCTATGTACAATGTTGATCAAAATCTGACTGATCCAGTAGTTTATCTATGTTTTTGACCTGTCATGGTTGGCTTCCTCTTAAATTAAGAATACAGAATTGTCAGTTTTGTTATTGTAAAATCCCATATCCGGTATCTTAACCGTTTATCATAAATGAACATCAAGACTATAAACTTAACAACATGTTATTAATCCATTTCTATGTAGCCTAGGTCTAGAAGAAGAAGAACAAAAAAACTCACCCTTATTTTAATGTCGGTTTTCAAACTTTGCTAAGAAAATCACATCAAAAGGCCACTTAGCACGGTAGGACCTGCAGTACACCTTGAACTGGATTACAATATGCAGATCCAAACCCTTTCCCCGAGGTAGGATGAGAAGTTAGACCAAGACGTTGAAGATACGGTGAGAGAGAAGTCTTAGACTAGAGGTCTATTTCTTGGATATGACTCAAATGTCCAGGTCCACTCCATCTCTGACTCTGAAAGAAAAACAAAATATAAGGCCAGATAATATATGAGCCTACTAGACGTACATAACATTCTACATCTAGTCTAAAATCTAAATTTGTACTGTGAGATGTAGACCTCTCTAGACTAGATCTAACTCATGTTAATTCAGATGTCACAACAATAAAAGTAGAATCTAGTCAAGATCTAGGACTAAGGCCAGGGACTAACTGTAACTTCCAACTTATACAAGCTAGTCCTGCACAAAGGATGCAGTGTAGTCTAAATCTACCCTAGATCTATGTAGGCTAGACTAAATCTACATGATACATCAAGATCTTTATCAAGATCTAACTTGGTCGTGGGTCTGACACTGTGGAGTCCAATTGTCTTGCATAAAATGTTAACGTTAAAGCAATGATCTCGTTGATTGTTATTATTAACACGAAACAAGGGCTACCGCACTGCGTTCCGGCAAAAAACAAAGTAGGGCCTAGGCCTAGATCTAGGCCTACATGTAGATTCAGAATCTAGGCCTAAGCCTAGATCTAAATCTACAAATGTACAATTATAAGCACTAGATCTAGCCTAGACCTCTAGACCTTTTCTCTAGAGTACTTATCGGCAAAACCATAAAACGCGATGATTCCTAAAGCCGTGGTAGGCCTAGACTTATTTTGTTATCAAATGCAAGAATAAACTATATTTCTTACATGTCCTAAACCAAATATTTAACATCGTCAGACAAGTACAGTAACTTAAACATTGCATGAATGTATGCTATATGAATGGGACGGAAATGCATGAACCGGTGCAATTCGAAGAGTTAACTTAATAAGTTTAGCTCAGTTGGGGAATGCTTTTAGTTGATATTTATTTCAAATATCGTTCGGTTAAAAATGAGAGGAATACTTTCCTTCTACCAAAATAACAATTTGTGTATCAACAGAACGGAATTTACTTACTTTTCGAGGACCTCACTTCGATACTTGCAGTAGTTTAGAGACGCAATTTTGTGGTTGATTGACCCAAAATCGACTAGCCTTGATTACAAAGCCCTTTTACATAATTTAACCAAAAATTTATCAAAATCAATTCTAGCTTAAATTTGATTCGATGAAACAGCTCACGAGCATCAGTTTAAAGTCAAAAGTGAATCGGCCTTAAAAAAAAAGATGTTTTAAAATCGAAATTAATTTTATTTGATGAAACATCCTCCAGGGGGAGAAAAGGGGAAATTAGTCATTCCCCTAGCTTGACATTGCTTAAGCTTCGAAAATTCACAAATTCTGAGTCGAAGAGTAGAGCTGACGATGGCCAGGGGAGGGGGGGGGGGGCTGCAGTGTACATGCCATGCCAACTCATGGAAATTGATGTTCTTTAGACGATGCATCCGAAAAACAATGTAGAATAATTTTCAAAAGGTTAATTTAACGGTTCATTGCAGCTAGAGCGCAACACTTTTGGATTCGCTGCCGGTATTCAGTGATTCGCCATTCTGCTTAAAAATAAAACACGTAGGTCTACTTGTAACCCGAAATATTGATACCGATGATAATTAATAAGATAGTGACAATAATAACATGATGATGATATTAACAGTAGTAAACGCACTAATAATAAATGATGATAATGATGATAGTAGTGGCAAAATAACAATAATAATAATAAATAATAATAATAACGAACATTTATGATAATGATAACTAATTTTATCAGGATATGATTTTTTTTAAGTAAAAAAGGACTTACATATTTTTACCTTCCGACGATTCATAATAATACATGCAACTGTATACCAATTTTTTTTCAATACAGGTATTCAAATTCTATTCATTGCGACTGTACATTGGAAATTCTTAAATAACAATTGAGAGCAATAATAAAACAAAACCCATCCTAACGTGGAGGTAACACCCACGTTTTAACATTTGCATCCCTTCACGCATTCGTATCATTATGCTTTCTCACGGCAGACTAACTAAACAGGATCGTCTAGTAGGATTGTAATCTATTTTATACAAGATTTAAACAAGAACCTACCACAGCTCTGACATCGTCTTCACATGTCTGCAGCACTCGAGGAGGTAAACCAAGTCTTTCTCGTCTGTGCACTCGACTCCATACAGCCAAAGCCGCTGCAGGTTCTTGGTTTGTTCTCTGATCAGAAGACCCATTCCTCTGATCGTCTCTCTCGATACACTCTTCTTCTCTGATGGGAGTGTGTACAGTGTTCTAAGCTTGATGTTTATGAGCTGCTGTCCTCCGGTCCGACGAAGACCAGCCGTGATCTGAGCTATGTCTCTCTCTGCATCATCGATAGTGATATCGATCACTCTCAAGCCAGGAAGCGATGAGAGCAGACCTTCATAGCTTTGTGACGTCACGCTCACGATTAATAGCTCTGTGACGGATGGAAGCTCAGGAGGAGATGAAGGGAAACCGAGAGAGGAGTCTGAGATGGTGAGATGGTTCAATGAGGTGAAGGATCTGAGACAGGACCACAATCTGGCAGTCATCTCGGTAGATAGCTGGCATTTCTTTACGAGGAGTTGACCATTATCCTGGAATTAGAAAGTAATTTGATATGTTAGCCATATAATAAACAACAAATATTGGAAATGGGTAGAATTTAAGGGAAGGCACCGTGCTTTATGAAGTTGACATTATAATTTAGAAGCAAAAACAGAAACATTTGTATTATTTATATTCTCTTAAAATATTGCTGTACCTGTCAAGAAACAATATCACTGCCCCCCCCCCCCCCTTTCTCTCTTTCTTTCTTTTCAAGAAACGGGTCGTCTTTTTGTAATTTCTTCAATGTTTTCCTAATCCATTCACCCCTTTGAATCCTAATGCCAGATCTCGATCCTTACATACATACTAAACACAGAGGGTAATTTTCAGGGGGTGGTTGTTCTCGGGCGTAATTTGTCCTACACCCATACAACAGTTGTTTAAAACATTTGAGTGATTGGAGTAATCTGTGCTCGGCATTTAAGTGATTCCATTGTTACGTACGGAAATCCATTAGTACCACAATGTGAATTCAAATTTAAGAGGAATTAAGTGGCGGCTCCCACATAATTATCTGGAGACATTGCAACGTAAATGATTACTTTATCAATACATGTCCAGTAATATACGATTTCTCTCTCTCTCTCTCTCTCTCTGTCTTTTTCTGTCTGCCTGCCTCTGCCTCTCTCTCTCTCTCTCTCTCTCTCTCCTTCTCACTTTCATCCTCTCTTCTCATTCTCTTCCTTTTCTACCTCTCTCCCATTTTTGCCCTGTATTCTGTAGCTTACATGACTTTTTTTGTACACTTTTCTAAGCGGAACAATTTCAGCCGACTCATGTCTCATGTAATACCCTGGAACTCCATTGTTCTCCCTCCCCCTCTTCCTCTTTTTTTCTCCTCCTCTATTGCCCTATACTTTACTAGCTGTATTTGCTCTCACTAAATCTATCTCCATTTAACATTATCCAGTATATTACCTCATTTTGCTTTCAACGGCTGTAATTAGTATTTGGACAATTAGATAATTTATCAACTGTATGTTTTGATCATACTATATATGCTGAAAATTAGTAACACTTTACAATTTTATATTTATATTGTGTCTCTCTAATGTTATTAACCTTTGTTTTACATATCTTTGTTTGTTATGCAATAATAATAATAATAATAATAATAATAATAATAATAATAATAATAATAATAATAGCTAGTTCTTATACAGCGCTTTTCAGGACCGAAGGCCCTCTCAAAGCGCTTTACAGATATATAATATATTATTACCCCGGTCATCGGATTCAGGCTTACCCGCACACAATGTATGCACATTTTCCACTCCCTGGGGAGCATTCCAGCCAGGCGTCATTTTTACAAGCGCACACTTGCTAATCTAAGCACATTAGCTTTCGCATCCTACCGGGTATCCATTTAACACCTGGGTGGAGAGTGGCAAATGTAGATCAATGTCTTGCCAAAGGACATTAGTGCCGCGGTGAGTTCAATAATTATGTACTTATCAAATCCATATTGTATATACGTTGTTTTTAGTATGCAGGGCGCTCAGTGATAGCAGTTTGTTAACTGAAGAGGTAAGCCTGCTTTAAATAAAACGGTACAGAATATATATATATATATATATGGCCAATAAATCAATCACTTTGTTTTGCATAGATGTGAATCTGATCTACGAATGGCTGATTTTCATTTAGACAGTCAACCTGTCATTGCATGATATGACGGACCGGTGGGTTGGTGAATGGCTCCAAACATACCAGTCATTCACGGTTTGTGTTAATGTTAATTTCAATTTTATTTTCAAGCTTTTGTAAATGTAGGGTCATCGGAAGCATAATCTTATAATCTTGTAGTTCACATGTACATGCAGCACCTACATCCAATATAATATAACAATAAACAGGATGCCACTATATTTTTACAAACACGCTATACGCATGATATACATTTAAATAAATTTATGTTACACTGTCTAATGATATACTTGAATTCCTTAACAGGACAATTACCCCCAAGGACAACCACCCCCGGAAAATTACCCTCCAAGGACAACCACCCCCGAGGACAATTACCCCCGAAAATTACCCTCTAGGACAATTATCCCCCCCCCCCCGAGGACAACAAAGGATAACCACCCCTGGGGACAATTCCCCCCCCCCCGGAAAATTACCCCCTGTTCATTAAATGGGAAGTTCATCCTGATAATAATTCGGTTTTTATTTCGTTTCGGGGGGGGGGGGGGTGATTGTCCAAAAGGGTAATTTTCAGGTGGGAATTGTCCTCTGAGTGGGAGAGGTGTGATTGTTCAAGGGGGTAATTTTCAGGGTGGGGTAATTGTCCCGTTGGTAATTGGCCAGGGGAGGAGGTGGGTGATTGTCCAGGTGGTAATTGTCCTAGAACCCTTGCATTCATGTAGCAATCGATAAACTTAGTAGGTAACTTACATGCAAGGCAATCACCCTGAGTGACTTTTCTGACTTGTTAAGACCAGTGATGTGATGTCTTAGTCTACCGTCTGGGTTTGTCCCACAGCCAAGAAACCTGCAACATATAAATGAAGTGTAAATTGCGTATAAAAAGAGGAATGGAAAGAAGATGTTAATTGCACCCATTTGTAGATGAGTGCATGTACGGTTGAAGTGTACCGATCATCTGAATATTATTTGTGTGCAGCTAGAATGTATAAAATCAACACGAAAATAAATGACCTGGCATTATTTGGGTTAACGGTATGAATTATGAAGAAATAGGTGGCAACATAAATAGGCCGCGCACGAGACCGAATTCGGTCTTCAGTTCCATGCGTGCCCTATTCTTCTGCAACCACGAGATATAACTTACATCCCCTTCACATACACGGATGTTTCTTACGAATAATTACGGGTCGCACAAATTCACGGATCTTTCACGGATCCTTGAGATTTGGCCACTATGTAGGTCTACATTACGATCGATTTAAGAGTTGTTACGAGTTATCGCGATGTATTAAGGCAAAGTTCCACGATTTGTCACGAGTTGTCACGGATACTTACGAGCAACTTACGTGTAAGTTATTCTCCTTTCGTTAGTTCAAGTCATCTAGTTAATTAGGATTTCTGATAGCATTTGTGTACATAATTGCAGGGGGACATTACTGCATTTTCGAACACTTTAGCTGAGCTACCCTACTTTAGTAGAAGTGTCGAGTTTTATTTGTCCAGTCAACCTACAATGTTTCCACTAGTAGACTACTCCTGCTTTTTGGCATCTACAAGTAACCTCCAGTTCTACTAGTGGTAAGTAACAATCGTTCATTGAAAGATTTGTTTACATATGTACGTCAAAGGCCAAATGTCACAGCTCATTAAATATGCAAAAAGGGATAATTATGTACATGAGAAAAAGCTGCAGTAAATATAGTATTGTATAATGGAGGTAACTTGCTCTGACGTATATAGGCCATTGTACCTGGCGAGGGGATGCAACGCTTTGCATTGGTTGTTTAAATTGTTTTTTTAAACAGGCAACAGAGGCGGCACTCCAGCCGGTGTCCCTTTTCTTCGAGTACCTTAAAAGAGCCCCCCTTATTTTGTGTAAGTGCCCTTTCTTTTGCACTTTTTATACAGACAATTCCCCAGTTTTCTTTCCAATAAGTGCCCCGTTCCCGTTCGCATAAATGCTCTTATCACATGTGATAAGTATCCCTATTCTAATCTGATAGTTGACCCTTTTGCTTTGACGAAATACCCATTTTCCTTAGTAATAAATGCCACTTTCTAGTGCGATATAAAGTGTCCCTGTTATATACTATGGCACGTGTCCCTTTCCTTTCTATAAAGTGCCCCTTATCATCCGTAATGAGTGCCGATTTCTAGGTATGAGAAATACCCATTTTGAGATCTGATAAGTGATCATTTTACTTTGACAGATGCCTATTTTCCTTTCTAATTCGTTGTGTGTTTGCATAACACATGATTTATGCTTGTAACAAAATGTTCATTCATACACTCAAAGACCATGTGGTTTTAGACATGTATGTTTTAATAAATGAATGATGTAGTAACATAAGTAGCCTGATCAGAACAAAATATCGCACTCTGTACATTTTTCCTACTTCTATGCGGAGTACAATACACGAAGAGTTGACATGATCGACCGAAGTGAAATGCATATTATGAATACGAATCCCAACGCACGAGGAAACATACACTTCTTTCAAAAATATGATCGTTCATATAGACTGACCTTCGACATTAAAGACACGCGTTTTTGCTTCATACTAATCAATTTATTTTGTCTTAAGGTTGACAATTATATTATTGGCATCACACCACTGATAAAATGTGATATTCTCAGTTATTACTACTAAATCAAAACAAGATTTTCCAGGTGGAAAAAAGTGGTCAATTCAGCTGCAAACAATCTTTAATTGAGGAATTTAGTACATGTATAGGTCATTTAAATACATCATAACAAAGAGTAGGGCCTTATGTGATAACAGAAACAAAATAAAACCGCTGAACAGTTACATGCAAGACAGCAAGATGATCGTTAATAATTTGTTTCGGTATATTTCTAACCTATTTGTTCCGGATAATGATACACATATATGTTTTGTACTGAACATAATGGCATTCACACCCCTTGCTAGCTTCGAGAAATTCACGTCACCTGGTTGGTGAATTTGCTACTTTCCAGCTGACAGACTCTCAATCTATTCTTTGAACCATGAACGAAGTTATTAAATCAATAGTAAACATGCAATAAAAGAGGTATATTTAAAATGAATTCACAACAAAATACGAATTAAGCGCCTTTAGTTAGAGGCTATGTGTCAATTGCCCATTGTAAACTAAAGCGAAAAACACCATCTGAAGTTCAAGATGTTTGATACTTTTAGCATTAAAATGACATTTTCATCAATGGTTTAATAGGTATTAAAACTATTAATGTTAATTATATCATCATTGTTATCAATAATCATTTTTTGGAGGGCTAGCAACATTATTATTATTGTTATTATTAATATTATCCACTGACTAAAAATGTGTACAATAAACTCACATTAGATGATTCATCGTCTTCACATGTTTGCAACACTCGACGAGTTCAACCAAGTCTCCCTCGTCCGTGCCCTTCACTCTGGATAGACAAAGCCACTGCAGGTTCTTGGTTTGTTCTCTGATCAGAAGACCCAGTCCACTGATCGTCTCTCTCGATACACTCTTCTTCTGTAATGGGAGTGATGACGGTGCTGTAAGCTTGATGTGTGTGAGCTGCTGTCCTCCGGTCCGACGAAGACCAGCCGTGATCTGAGGTATGTCTCTCTCTGCATCATCGATAGTGATATCGATATCTCTCAAACCAGGAAGCGATGAGAGCAGACCTCCATAGCTTTGTGACGTCACTCTCTCGGCTGATAGCTTTGTGACGGATGAAAGCTCAGGAGGAGATGACGTGAAACTGAGAGAGGAGTCTGAGATGGTGAGATGGTTCAGTGAGGTGAAAGATTTGAGGCAGGACCACAACTTTTCGGTCATCTCAGTAGATAGCTGGCATTTCTCTACGAGGAGTTGACCATCATCCTGAATTAAGAAAGAAAATTAATATGTTAGCCATAATTATAATAAACAACAATATTGGAAATGGGTAGAATTTAAGGAAAGGCACCTTGCTATATAAATTTGACATTATAATTCAGAAGCAAAAAAAAAAAATCTTCTTATTTATATTCTCTTAAAATATGGATGTACCTTAAAAAAAAAAAAAACACTGCCCACCTACCCCCCACCCACCTCCTTCAAAAAACGGATCGTATTTTGTTCATAATTTCTTCAATTTAGTCCTTATTCATTCACCCCTTTGAATCCTTATGTCAGATCTCGATCCTGACGTACATACTAAACACATTAAACACACTTCTACACCGTAGAATATTTTTAGTTAACGCTTGCCCGCTAGTTTAATCATTGCGATTGATAAATTTACAGTCTGAAGAAATCTATGTATACACAAGTTTAATAGTCACATAATAAGTAAAGCGACATCGACCATACAAACCGAGCGTTCTCACACGCGCTGAACAGGGCGCACAATAAGTGCATGGACTCTTTACATTATAGACCGCCGGGCGAACACTCAAAAGTGCCTTAGTTTTTGTGTTTTGTGACCCATCCCCTTGAAAATATCCTCGAATGTGTAGAAAAATATACTGAAGATGATGGTACAACTCGTCAGTAGAACAAAGTGCACACATATTAATAATTAATCACCCCCCCCCCCCTGTTACACCCACAAATGTAATAACTCCCACAAATGTAATAACGCCCACAAATGTAATAACACTTTACCCACAAATGTAATAACACTTTACCCACAAATGTAACAACACCCACAAATGTAATAACACTTTACCCACAAATGTAATAATTTCACCCACAAATGTAATAACCACTTTACCCACAAATGTAATAATTTTGAATCACCCACAAATGTAATAATTTTGAATCACCCACAAATGTAATAATGACTTTACCCACAAATGTAATAAATTTGAAGTGATATTTTGAATCACCCACAAATGTAATAATGACTTTACCCACAAATGTAATTAATTTGAAGTGATATTTTGTCGAATTGGTTCAAAACTAAAACCCTGTATTAAATAAAGCATGGGTATAGCTAACTACCACCTAGCTAACTACCCCCGGACATCTACCCCCAGTCAACTACCCCCTCCCCGGACATCTACTCCCGGACATCTTACCCCATCCAACTACCCCTCCCCCTGGACAACTAACTCCCCCTCCAACTACCCCCCCCCCGGACATCTACCCCCAAGCAAATTAAGGTAGTTGCGGGTAGTTGCCCGGGGTAGTTGGATGGGGGTAGATGTCCGGGTGTAGTTTTCAGGGTGGGGGTAGTTGGCTGGGGGTAGTTGGAAGGGGATAGTTGGATTGGGGGGGGGGAAATGTCCGGGGGTATTTGACGGGGGGGTAGATGTCTGGGGGTAGTTGCCCGGGGATAGATGTCCGGGGGGTACTTGACTTGGGGTAGATGTCCGGGGGGGTATTGTCCGGGGTAGATGTCCAGGGGTAGTTAGCTGGGGGGGGGGTTATCATTCTAGGGGGTAGTTAGTTGGGGGTAGTTGGCAGGGGGGGGGGTAGGTGTCCCAGATTCTCGATTAGAGATTATGTCTGACATTTCTTTCGGGGGAGTCCTCTCTCTCGTGGTTGTAGCTCCATGGTAATGAGCAGTGTCAGAACACTAAAGTTACAACAAAGTTATTTTGATTAGGATAAACTTTAGTTTTTGCTGTGTTTAGAAGATCTTCTTAGAAAAAGATCGCACAACCAAAAACAAACTAACAATTATGCATTAAACGGGTTAATCCTCACGTAGTATATTACATACCAATCATGTGTGATTTTTTGTCTACACTATAAGTGTATAAACCGTTGTAAAGAAAATGTATGTGTCATATGAGTGAACTATATATCATAAAATATGTTATCTCAGTGTTAAAGCAAATATCTGGAAACTACATGCCTCTATTGCTTATTAAAATCACTATACATATTCATGTATTTATAATCCTTATACAAGTGTATGGTTTGTTTTGCATTTATGTCTTTAATCAGATTTCTGTTTAAGGTTGAAAAATGGCTCAAAAGTGGCAAACGCCAAACTCTTCAACAGAGATCAGGTAAAGGTTGTTAATATTCTGTATCTCATTGTATAATTAAAATAATTATTTCCTTTTGATCAGTCATACTTCATTTCAACTCCGTCTACTCTTAAAGCATCTGAAAAGTATTACTGAACAACTTTTGGAGTTGTACATGTTAAGTAGTTTTATATGGACGAATACTAAGTTACAGAAAGCCAGGTATTTTAGTATTTCGGCATCTTGTTCTCTTGTTTTTCCTAGCTTAGAAGAATTGTCACGTGTTAGGTTGTTTGCATTTTATATCAAGTTCAGTTGATGTTATCAGGTTCAATATTGCCCAAATTATAACCTTGTTTGCTTGTAAAAGACATGTGAGTTACTCCACCTGTTTATACGTAACAATTATTTTGGTTCTGTTACCGTCTGTATATTAATGAAACAACCTCTTCATTCGTTTGGAATAAAATACTTTCTATCTTACAAAATCTATGTATCCATCATTGCATTTAATACTATAAAACCATAACCTCTGCAATTTACTCACATTGATTGAGAGAGTATATAGATATTTGATCAGTCAAAGGGTTCTGCAATCGTTCATTCAAAACATGCAAATATGTTTCGCGCGATTTCGTTATACAGCTATTTATGATTTGTTATATGAAAGTATGCGTTGTTATTTGCTTGTTAACCGATTATCATTTCAGACTTGTTCTTGTTTATATAGCTGCTTGAGTGTTTCAGAAGTAGGGAAAACTGTAACATAAATGTGTTTTGTTTGTATTTGCCTTTGAATAAATTTCGTTCTCATGAATTCACACCGTGTACCGCGTACCAATTGGTAGTCTTCAGTATAAGTAATTGATATGTTCATCACATGAAGAAAGGTAATTCATTCACGCACTCATGAAAATATAACATCGCAATCCTACGTTTTAATGTCACTAATAGCGTACATATATATATATATATATATATAAATATATGTTACATATCGTGAACATATTTCATAATCACATGCATAAAACAATCAGCGTCAATATTTAAATACATTTAAGGTCACTTATTCAATTACTTTTTTTTCTACGAACATTGAATTTCAGGATATTTGTGGGCGTTAGAATATTTACATGATTAAGAAATCGTCGACGGTCAACGAACCATCGAATCGGTCCCTGGACCATTGTGACTGATTCGTCAGTTCGTGTGACCGCCGTCCAATCATTTATTTGTGACGTGTTGTATCCACATATGTAATAATGTAATTTATTTTTAAATGAAAAAAAGAGGAATAAGATGGTGGGTCTTAGTTTCGAAGATTTGTTTAAATTTCTATTTCCTTTGAAATAACCGGGTCTGGAGGAAAGACTACGCTCTATACCCATGTTATTCCACAGGAATGAGATGGTGAGGTCTTAGTTTGAAGGTTTTTTTTTTTTAAATAACCGAGTCTGAAGTAAAGACTACGTTCCCATCCCATGCTTTATTACCGGGTCTTAATTTGGAAGATGGAGGGGTCTTAGTTTAAAAGGTTTTGTTGTTGTTTTGTTTTGTTATGTTTTTTTTTTTTTTTTTTTTTTTTTAACTTTTGAAAAACCGGATCTGGAGGAAAGACTACGCTTAATACTTATGTTCTTCCACAGGAATAAGATGATGGGGTCTTAGTTTTGAAGATTTTTAAAAAGTTTTGAAATAACCGGGTCTGGAAGAAAAACTACGCTCTAAACCCATGCTCTATTAGCGGGTCTTAGTTTGGAAGATGGTGGGGTCTTAGTTTTGAAGATTTTTTTATTTTTTTTTAAATAACCGGGTCTGGAGCAAAGACTGCGCGCTATACCCATGCTTTATTACAGGGTTTTAGTTTTAAATTCGACAAAATATCCCTTCAAATTTATTACATTTGTGGGTAAAGTCATTATTACATTTGTGGGTGATTCAAAATATCACTCCAAATTTATTACATGTGTGGGTAAAGTGGTTATTACATTTGTGGGTGAAATTATTACATTTGTGGGTAAAGTGTTATTACATTTGTGGGAGTTGTTACATTTGTGGGTAAAGTGTTATTACATTTGTGGGCGTTATTACATTTGTGGGAGTTATTACATTCGTGGGTGTAACACCCCCCTCTCTCTCTCTCTACCTCTTCGTCCCTTCCTCCACCATACGCATACTCTCTACTTCACAAAACCATTTCTCCCTGAATGTATCTTTCTGTAACAAAATATCTATTCTTATTGAGAGCCCTGTCAGTTATTCTATAACAAGTAGCTCCAGGGTTATAGAAAACTTAAACAAATTAAAAATAAATTCAGATCCACTTTATACAGGATAAACATTAAACGAACTTTTCAGTATTTAGGATCACAACTACGGAATCCCATTAGTGCCACCAAGTGAATTAAAATTAAAGAGGAACTAATTGGCGGCCACCAGGACAAAAAATTACCCCCCCCCCGTAAAATTACCCCCAAAGACAACCACCCCACGAGGATAATTACCCCCCCCCCACCAACAAAAAAAAAAAAACCTAGGATATTCACCCCCCCCCCACCCTTGAAACTTAACCCCTAGGACAACCCCCCCCCCCCCGAAAATTCCCCCTGTTAATTGATTGATTGATTGATTGATTGATTCAAATTTATTCTATTTCATATCAATTGTTTGCACAATAAATAACATAGTTGACAAAGTTAAAGTACAAAATTATGAA